TTAAAACCTAAAAGCAAATTACTCCTTCCGTACGAAATTATAAAACACTTTTAAACAAAATCTCATATATCAATAAATTTTATTAAATACACTCAACAACCTTATTTTTTCAAAACAAAAACATAAATTTTTAAAAATATCTATCATTTAATATATCGAAAAAAGAAGGGATGAAAATTAATTATAGAGAAAAAATAATAATATTAAAATTGATACATTTAATGAAATCTTAATCTACTGAAAGTGTCTTATACTTTAGGATGAAAAAATTTTTTTAAAAGTGTCATATAATATGAGACGGAAGGAGTATATGACTGGTGGAGAAGTAAATCCCCCAAGTATAAATTGTTTGAAAAAATTCCTAAATGACGTAGCAACCAAGCAAACAGTGATAAATTGAGACAGCAAACAAGAGAACAACTGAAAAAATGACACAAGCCTGTTTCAAGCATCAATTTGAAAGAGAAAATGACATGAGATGCAAAAAGACATTGCTCAGTTCTACTGAGGTAAAGGTAATTCCACAAGGAAGGAAACAACAATGAAACACAGAAGACGATCCAAACAGCCATTAAATAACGCCCATATCTCATTAACAGTTAACATAGAAAATAGTTATGAAATTAAACTAGTAAAGGAATGCAGGCAAGCCAACAAGATGCCATGAGACAGATGAAATCCTAACATGGTGATACAAAATATCAACTCTATACCCGCCACCTCATTCAATAATCAATATGATGAGCACAATTTGACCCCCAAAAAAAAAAATGATGAGGACATGCATATCAGAAAAAGAAACAGTTAAAATGTTCAGATTATCAACTGTGAGATATCTGATAAAACTAATCAGTCACCATTCGTGTTCTTCAGCATTTCAAAGTCTTCCACAATTCTACCATATCATCAACATAGCAGTGATTGTAATTGCAAGTGTAATTGAATCTAGATTCAATATGATAAATCAGCATCAACGCCATTGGCTTGAAATGAACATGTTCGTCAATTTTAAGGCAGACGTCAAGAATTAATCTCGTGCTGTGAAAGAGTATCTTCAAATGTTCAGCAAGCTCTAAATGCCGATACGTAGATTACTAGTTGCTACTGCTACAACAAACCTGGGGCTTTCCCAGAGAGCTTACCCTAACAAATATCATAACTTGTATCTCAAATCGTGATTATATACCAACACAGATCAGGTAATTTGAACAATGATTTAATCTTCTACGCTCTCAATTTTCAATAATATTCATTATTCAACATGCAGCTTGCCCGCTGTAGTTAAGACAGTGCAATTGAACTTTACAAATGCACTGGTAACCATCATCTACAGACCATGCTAAACATAGTTGGAAAACTTCATATCGTCAAAACAAACTCAATTTTCTGCCATTTGAGACTTCAAAATTTCTTGAAACAGCCTTTAAAAAAAATATATAGATATGATATAGATTACTGAATAAAAATTACAGAATTACAAAACCATTTGTGACATCTGTGCTTCATCAATCCTTTCATCAGTTTCTTCCTCTTCTTTGCTTATGTCAATATGTTTGCCCTGGTCGGAGCCTTCCAGCAATAGCTGATTGCTTTTTGTAATGCTTTCATCACTCAGTGTTAAGGAAGGCCGATCTAACAAGAGAGTATTTCTTTTGTAATTCCAAACAAGCATAGAAATGTAATCCTGAGGAGAGACAAGACCTTGTTCCTTTGTGCAACTCCTTTGTTCCTCCAGAGTCTTAGGATCCTCAAGTTTTATATATTCTAGCAATGCCTTTTCATGGTCCGGTACCCAATTACTTGGGAATGGAGTGTAGTCTGTCTCAGGCACAAGAGCCATCCTAGTATATTGGAGGCCATCAATTGATTCAACAAGACCCATCCTCAGCAAATTATGATACTCAGGAGACTGGCCTTTTTTCTCCTTTAATGGACGGCTCAAATTTCGAGAACCAATCTTATAGACTTTTGCTCGTGAACGGAGCTTGTATTTTGCTGCATACAGCTTTGCAAGAGAACCTCGTACTATGTAAGAACAAAAGTTCACAACTTTTTTCCGATTGTCTGCAAATCTGTACCATTCAACCATGGTTGACAAAAACTTGTTCATTTGAGCATTGGTATGAGCTTGAGTGGCATGAAACATCCGAAAACAAGGCTGTGGATCAGGATCTCTATCTCCCTTCAGAAAGTTCAATTTTCGAAATTGCTTAATGCATTGCTTTAAACTTGCAGTCACTGATAAAAGGGTTCCTACACCTTTTTCGCTTATGATCTTGCCACCAGTTGCAGTGTATCGAAGGGTTGGATAGACCACCCTCCTGCATAATACATGATCAAGAAACATTATACCTTTAGTTATATGTTCTATTGGAAGGCTCTCATTATCAAGCTTAAGCATATACTTCTGATCACAAAACTCAATCAATTGCTTTCTCAATGTTGCTGCATCTGCCCTTGGACCCCGAACACCAATTAATATATGCCCTCCATAACGTATAAAATCTATCTTCCGGGTTTTATCAGGTCCACTTGTGGGCACAAATTCTGGCCAGGATGTGTTTCCCTGCTCTGCTTCACTTTCAGGACTGTTCCAAATGACATCACTCTTTGATGGCCGGTAAAACTCCTTAATCTTTCCTTCCATCCAGCGGTCCAACTCATCAAAGCAAATATTGGCCAACAGAGGACTAAGAATTCCACAATGCCCCCAATTTGGAATTTTCTCTGCCTCCTCAGGGGCAAATCCAAAAAAAGTTTCTAACCAATAGGGATCAGGCTTGGGCTCATCTTCTGCTAGCACCCTTTTCTTCTGGTACTTCCTCTTTTTCTTCTTTTTCTCCCCATCTTCAACTTTATTGGTGATGACTGGTGTTGTCAGTGCTGCTTTCACTAGATCAATAATCTTTTTATCCCTCAAATCCCTCATTAAAGCATTTATCACTAACCCTACCTTCATCCCATCCAAAATGGTACTCAAATCACCCTTCATATACCACAAATATCCAGCAAAATTCCTCCTAATTACCCTCAAGACTGTGTGCGCATTCCTTCCTGGTCTATATGCAAATGACTTCTGCGAAAACCGAGCTTCATAAATTGGCTCCAAAATCATAAACAAAACCTCCTGAACAATTTTATCTTGAAATGGTGCTGGCTGTGTAGTTGTTAAAATTGCTTTGATCTTCCTCTTTGACAATGACTGATAATCAGTCTTATCCCTAGGGGATTTTATAAAGAAGTCCAACCGAGCTCCCCATTTGAACCTATTATCAAGGACAGCATTTCTAAGTGCCAACAAGTCTTCAAGAGCCGACTTTTGCACAGCACTATGAGGGAGATAAGCGCCTGTCTCATCAGCACAAACCTTCTGGTAAGCCAATACCCACAATTCAAACCGACGAAGATACGAGGTCAAGTTGGTCACGATCCTATCAGGTTCACGGTAATTCTCAATCCACATTTGACAACAAACTGAAACCCCATCCTCCTTCATCAAAGTGGAGGGATCATTAGGATCTGGTGCATGTGGGCGCACTGGAGTAAAGGAGGGTGACCGGTAGTTGGCAAAACCATTCACTATAGGATTTCTGCAACCAGGTTGAGAAAATATCAAAGTGTGATTGCCAAGTGTCCGTAAAATATTGGAATTTGAGATAAATTGGTGACTAAAGATGACAAGTCGTCGATGCATCTGGCTTTTACAAGAGCTCAGCTACTTCAGGTGATTTTTAGTTTATGATGAACAAAAGCATAGAGAAGCTCTGCAGTTCTCACTTGCAATTGAACCATAGTCCTTCAACTGAGGATGACATCACAAGAAAATAGGAATGAAAATATTAGATATTAAACATAATCAAATGAAGGGATCAAAACTCATAATTTAATTTGTAGCTTTTCAAAGAAAGATAAAAATAACGACCGCAAAAATTAGAACTTCAAATGGAAAAAAATTTGAAGCTCTAAATGTTAAAACAAAACCCCACTCTATCATATGCATTAAAATCATGTGTATTAATATATATGATTTATCCAAAGTAGTACACATTTTTTATTAATGTGGAAGGCATTAATTAAAGAAACAGCACAAAAAAGGAGATATTTTAAATGAGAAACAGCTCAAAGCTACTTCTAGATATATGGAAAAAAATTATCCACACACGGACTGACAATGGGGTTAGGCCAAGGCAAGGAGGCTCTCCCAACACTCTGTCCCAATCATTCCCATGGTTCCCTCTTCCCTATAGAGAGGGGCAGCTTTTCCCCATCCCCATTCCATGCAAGCAAGGCAGGAATCAACACAGGGGCCACATGCAAGCAAAAGAATCACAAAACTTGCTGTAATATCCCATATACGAGGAAAAACATGATATAGATGAACTACACATTTCAGATACACAATCAGAGTTCCTTCTTTTATTTGGTAAAAGCCTTAAATAAGAACATTTGCAAACTAAATAGTAAATTGTTGTACACGCATATGCTGTTGTTGAAGGCCATGATTGTGTTGTGCAATATTGGTTCATGACAAGTTTAGCTTCATGCAAAACCTTGTCAAAATCCTAGAAAGGAATGGAAGACCTCGAAATGAAATACATATTTGAATGCTTGAGTCTAGGAACCACTCCTGTGCCAAAGCCCCAAGTATCAGTGTCACATACACATCAGACACACGGAGATTCTTTGGATAGGCTATCAAGCTTTGATTCAAACTTGGGAACTTCAAAAATAGTTTCTAGTTTTGTATTCCTAAAATTAGACAAAAGTCTTTCATACAGAAGCTACAGAAGTTTGGAAGTTGGAACACAAACACATTTGAAAAGTTATAAATGACAATTCTAAACAACCTTTTTAGATATGTATCTAGACTGTTACAAAAAAAAAATTGAAGGAAACGGAATATAGTAATGTTCTTTACCGCAATATGATGCCTTGATCCTATTCTGAATATCTTTTATTGAGCAATTGCCAGTCTTTTTTGAATAGAAATGATATAGCATTTAGAATAAACTGTAGCCAGGAAGTTTAAAAGCAATTCTCATGTCCATTACTTTTCTTAACCTCTCAGCATCACCAAACCTTCCAACACCAGCAAGTATATTGGACATAAGAATATAATCTCCACCATATTCTCTCTCCATCTCCAGTATTTTCCTCATCACCCTCTGACTAATTTCAACATTTCCATGAAAATTGCAAGCCCCTAGAAGTGTCCGCCAAATCACAACATTGGCAACCTCGTGAGATACCTGTAAAGCAATCTTTTCAGCTTCTTCTAACCTACCTGCCCTTCCCAGCATATCTATTAGACAGCCATAGTGCTTGGTATCTGGCACAAGTTGACAATCATCAACCATTTTATGGAAAAACTTGAGCCCCTCCTCAACCAATCCTCCATGACTACACCCATTTAAAACACTCAAAAATGTCACATGATTTGGCTTCATCCCAGCCTTTTCCATGGTTTCAAAATACTCTACAGCCTCTCTTCCCAGACCATGCATTGCAAAACCTGAGATCATTGATGTCCACGATACCAAATTTTTCCTGTGAGCAGATGTCTCCTCAAAGAATCTGCTTGCACTTGCTATGCACCCACATTTTGCATAGGAGTCTATCAGTGAATTCATAATGCGTATATCAGAGGCATTGAAGCCTTTCTTTTCTGCATAGCCATGGACTGATTGACAAATCACAATGAACCCAAGATTTGAAATGGCAGGAAAAATGGTCAGAAGAGTCACTTCAGTTGGTTTTATGCCCTCACAAACAACCATTTCCCTAAACATGGTCAATGCTTTAGTAGGCTTATTCATGCGTGTGAACCCATCCATAATAATTGTCCAGGAGACAACACTCCGAATTGGCATTTTATGAAATAATGACAAGGCAAGGTTAAACTCACCCCATTTGATCAAACCAGTAATGAAAACATTCCAAGTAACTGTATTTCTTTCAGGCATTTTGTCAAACACCTGCGCCGCTTCCATTAAGAGACCCCAAGTTGAGTACATATACAGTAAAGCAGTTTGTACATACAAGTGAAAGTGAAAACCCACTTTGAATATGACAGAATGAATCTGGATTCCAAGGTGAATGCATTTCGAATTGGCACAGGCATGACAGAGGAATGCATAAGTGTAGCTGTCAAAGGAACAATACATGAGAAATGCATGGCAGTTTTGGGAAGATATAAAAAACTTTACAGATTCTTCCGGAAAGAGGCCAAGAGAGTAACAGCGAATCAGAGTGTTGAAGAGATGCAAACAGGAAGAGGTGCAATAAAAAGGGTACAGAAGCAACCCAGAGGTTATGATATGAGAGTGGACCTGCTGAGCAGCTTGGCGATTTGATGCGTCTTTAAGTAGAAGAGAGACCAACTGCTGCGGATGCCTAGGTTGGGAATAGCATGAAGACACATTGAATTCAGAATAAGGATGGCGTTGAAGAATTTGGTGAGGCATAGCTGCTAAACAAGCGAGCACAGGGTTCCTCCCCTTCAAATTTGACAGAGGCAAGAAAGATGACAAAGACTGAGTGAAACTAAGATTAATTTTGCTGATAATTGATATAGAATATTTAAGGAGAAAATACGGCAAAATGCAACAGTTGTCCGCCAAGCTCATTCAAATATAACTGCTACACAGAAGCCATAGATTCTTTCCTAAATGCTAATGACTGCGACCCAACTTTATGAAGCAAAGTAAAAGACCCAACCACACAAGTGAAACAACGAAAATTAACACCAGCCAGAGAATTCTTAATCACCCTAACCAAAATTCCCTAAAAACACAGCTACTATAGGTAGCGTTGAGTGTAACGTCCCAAAAGTTAGACCTGGGTGCTTATAAGCATGAGAAAGAAATTTTAGTCCAAGATATAAATTTTCAAATTTAAGGCAAGGAGTCTAGAATGTTGGAAAAGGCAAAACAGAGCAATTTAATTAAACGAGCAAACTGTATTGAATGGCTAAGTCAATGTCTAAGCTAGTATTTTTCCTATATTGAGGACTCTTTTAGCTTTAAAAGAAGACAAGAATGAGCTCATTCCAAGTTTTCTATCATATGTTATAAATTTTTAAAGTTAGCCTAAAATTCAGGAAATATCAAGTTAAAGAAAAATGAGATTGAGCTTGGAATTTTGAAGTCCTTCTTGTCTCTATGGAACCTAAGATAGCTTCCATTGCAGAATAATGGTTCCTAAAATAGGATGTTGCATTGAACCAACCCAAAACGTTCTTTTCTAACAAAACGTGGTTTTGGAGTTGCTAGTCCACAATCTGGGAAGACCTAAAACGTGCCGAAGCCCCCAGTGTCCGTGTAGGGTACGCATCAAATACCGAAAAAATCCTTTCATAAAAATAGCGAAGCTACTCAATAAAACACAGCATTTTCATCTGAACCAGAACAATTTCGTGGAAATCTCACCGCAATAGGGGTTCGGCCGGATACATAATTGCTTAGCCTCTTATTCCAATCGGGCTTTCGATGTCTCCACTGCTGAAGGATGGAAGCCAGTGAAGTTCGCATCTGCCTAGTAGTCTCTGGAACCTCTGCGTTTTGGGCATCACACTCACAGCTTTGCCATTGATGGAGGTAAGAAGGAGTGAAGCTCAAATCTGGTTGGTTAATCACCGGTGCCTCTGCTCCGTGTTTAGTACTAGTCTTCGAGCCAATTTTTTTTCTTCATCAATCAACACCACGGTGACTTCGTTTGAAGTTCCACGCCTAACTATCAACCTACAGGGTTTATAGGCTCACAAAAAATCCTATCTTTTTTTTTTTGCCGCTAGAGACAATTAATATTTGGCCCCTATAATTTAAGTTAATTACGAATTCGATCCCACAGTTTCAAAATTTACTAATCCTGTTAAGTCTGCAACCGTTGATCAGATTATCTATCATCACACTTAGCTAAAATTATCAATTCCATCCTTGAAAGATTCAAATCAGAAAAATGGCATCAGAAATTGATATACATGGCTAACGGAGAGAGGGTGAAAAGGTATTGCAAGTGTAATGTAGCTGTTGAATTAGCAAATGTACTTCGAATAATTTAAAAAAAAAGGAAACTAATCATTTAACCCTTAGTAATTTTAATTCAATTGTAACATGATTTCTAAATTTTAATTCAGTATAATTTAGTTTTTATGGATTTGTTAGATTGCAACTAAGTTCATAAATTCTAATTGATTATAATTTACTCTCTCCGTCTAAAAATGTAAGGTACTTTTAACCAAATTTCACCTTAATAAAGTAGTTGTTTACTTTCAAATTAACCCTATCTTTTTATATTTACCCCTATTAAACACCTTATAATAAATATAAAGTTATTATCAATAAGGGCACTTTTGAAGAAAAAGCTATGATGATACCTCGAAAGATTAAAAATGCCTTACATTTTTAAACATTCAATTCCTTAAAAAATGTCCTACATTTTTGAATGGAGAGAGTAGTCTTTATGGTTTTAGTGCTTTCAAATGTTACTCTATGAATTTAAAAAATAGCTTTAGTTTTTATAATTTTATTTTTTAAAATATAAGAACTAATATTTTAAATAATTTAAACTATAAGAACTGAATTATATCGAATTAAACTTTAAATATTAAATTATAATTGAGTCAAAACTATAAAGATAGAATAATAATTAGTCAAAATTCATGGATTACGTTTTAATTAACTAATTTAAAATTATGTAGACTAAAATCATTTTTTTCTTTTTCAAAAATATTTTCCAACGATAGGACTATAACCAAGACTTGTCATTAACATGTAGCTAGCGTCTATATTGGTGCGCTTAACTGGATTCCTGCATTTAAAAAATTTCTTGTGGTAACATCCATTTCTGTTTTTTTTTTCTTATACCTTTCTCTTTAAAAATATAAAGCACTCTTTAATGTTAGATATTTAAAAATATAAGTTATTTTTAATTTTTTAATGGATAATTAATTCTAGAGGGTTTTACAAAAGATATCCTTGATAAATAATTCACTTAACAACTTTTTAAGTGAGACATCTTATTAAATAAGAACAAATATTAGATATGGTGTTAATTTGTTAACAATTAATTTATTTATTTGGCAATGTAACTCAATTAAATTTTTTTATATTTTTTTAATAAGGAGATCTGGAATATATTATTAAAAGTAAAATATTTATATATTATTATTTAAACAATATTTAGAATTTAAAATTAAAAGGGGACAATGACACCTAGATAGCCTTTAAAGTTCAAACCTAATTGACACTTTTATCCCCGTAAATTTTTGAAATGCCATTTATGACCCTTGAATAAAGGAAAGCCCTTAGATTTTGAAACTTCACTATAAATAAGGAGAGTGAAATGAAATTAAAATGTTGAGAGAAATGATAAAATAAATTTTCTTTTAATTTATTTTTTTAAAAAAGATTTAGTTAGAAATGGCCAAATTTCACGATCAAGAGGCAACATCATTAGAATATCCGAGCTGGCGAGGAGCAATTGTAGGTTTTGTGGAGGAAATGGGGGAGAAAAGATGGTGAGAGAATTTGGGAAAGAGTTGGGTAAAGAGCCTAGAGAGTGAAAGACATGGACATGTAGCCTGAATTGGAGAGAACATCAGCTGCGTCAAGGATAGTTTCATAGGAGAGAGAAGGGAGAAGGGGGGAAGGTTTTTTTTTTTTTAATTTAAAAGAGGGTTAATGTATAATTTTAGTATGAAGAATTTACAACTTCATTCACCATAATAACAATATTAAGAATAAAATCAAGTTAAGCTCGCATACAAATAATTCCTATAGAAAAAGTAATCACTTCAATATGGGCAATAAATGACTTATAGACAATTTATAACTCTTTCCAACATGATCACTAAAAATAAAGTGAAATGAAGCTACATATATAAGCAACTTCTACAGAAAAAGTAAACACTTCAATATGGACAATAAACAACTTCATTTTAAGGGAGGGAAAATGAACAGCTTGAATTGGAAAATAAATAACTTGTGTACACCTTTGCAAATTAATCACGTAAATTAAAAAGAGTTGCAAAATTTCTCACACCAAAATCATTCATTTACTATATTAAGGTGGTTATTTTTTCTATCAAAATTGTTTATATGTATAATTTCACTTGATTTTAATTTTAATGCTGTTGTCATGGCCAAAACAAAAAGTTGTAAATTCACAGTTCTAAAATTTTTCATTTTTCATATTAAAATGTTTAATTTTTTCCTAAAAGAATTGTTTATGCACATAACTTCATTTGATTTTATTCTTAATATTATTGTTTAATTTGTTTATTACCATTCTGAAGTGTTTACTTTTTCTACAGAAGTTGTTTGTGTGTATAGTTTTACTTAATTTTATTCTTAATATTGTTGTCATGATAAAAAAAAAGTTGTTAAATCTCCATACTAAAATTGTTCATTTTCTTACAATAGTTGTTCATTAACCCTCTTTTATAAATTAAAGGAAAAAAAAAACCTTCTCTCTTTCCTCTTTCTCTCCCATGAGACAATTCTCGATGCAGCCGATCAACGTTCTCTCCGAATTAGGATACATGTTTCTCACTCTCCAAGACCTTTATTGTCAAACTCTTCTTTCCTAAACCCGTTCTCTCACTATCTTCTCTCCTCCATTTCCTCCACAAAACCTCCAATTGCTCCCTGCCATCTCAGAGATTTCAACAATGCTCTCATGATTGTGAAATTTGTCCATTTTTTAACTGAAGAAGCATTTTTTAAAAAATTTAAAAAGAGTGTTAATTTGGTCATTTCTCTCAACATAATTACATTTAACTTCCTTTGGTTCGCAATGAAATTTCAGACATCAGGGCTTTCCTTTTTATTATGTTTGATCAATGAGTCTCGGCTGAAATTTTCCCATTGAAGAACTTGAATGGCATTCCAAACTCAAGGGCTAAAATGCGACAGTATGCATGCATGTTCGTCATTGAACTTGAGCACTGCTTTTGTGAATGTTCACATTTACAAAGAAAGGATTAAGACTTAGGTTACTTGAATTTTTGAAAGGCCATTTGAGACCAAAACTTAATCAATGGAGTTAGATTTAACTAAAAAAATTAGACAATCACAGTGTAGTGAATTAAAGTTTGAATTTTTATTTGAAAAAGTGCCCGAAGATTTGACACCTGAATATGTCTCAAATAAAATTAGTTTTTAATAAAAGAATATCTATGAGTAATAAAAAAAACTAAGACTTGCCATTTCATACTGCGAATTTAGGAATTAAATTCACATGTCTATTCAACCTCTTGGGTTTGATAATCTTAATAACATGATTGTGATGGAACGTGGAGTTGGAAAGTACGTCCGATAAAATTTGGAAGGTGGAGCTATTGCTTGCCCTATCACATACATCTAATTAATTTATATCCATAAAATTAAAACAACATATATGCTTTGAGAAAATAATATTTAAGAGTACGTAATACATTTTTCACAAATAAAGTAAAACTAATATAAAATAGTACTTTTATATATCAAACCCAAACAATTCTAACCCTATCCACGAGAAGTAATTTCGGTTAGTAGTGTTTATTTATACTATAAGTTGTTATTAATAGGATTATTGTAGTAACTACTACTACATTTTTTTAAGAAAAAAAAATAACATGACATATTTAAAAAAAAATATGACAATGATGTTTCGAATTCATTATTATAAAGCATGAGTGATAACTTTAATCGATAGATCATATCTATGCTACTTTTGGAAACCATAAGTAGTCGTTAATTATAACTTTTTTATTCATTGAAAATTTAAAAAAGAATTAACAATCTTTTAACATATCTCTAATTTCTCATGTAAGTCTCTGTATCTTTATCATTCTCCAATTTCATTACAAGAAAACAGTCTTTTCTTTAAGAAAATTTCTCACATCAATTGAAACATGAGAATTTCTTGTCAAGTTCCTACACAAAAAATCAGTTTATGCATGATTTCTCACATTATTTTCTCACAGCTATGATATGAAAAAATTATCTGTGCGTGAGAAAATTTGCAAAAATTATAGCGCATTATGGTGCCAATTTGGAGGCAACTTTTTCACAGTTGGCAATCGTGAGAAAAAAAAATATTATCAAAACATAATAAAAACAACTTCTTATGAAAAATATATGTAAAAGAAATTCTCATTAAATTTGTGCTCGTAATAAACATTTTTAAATGATAGAGTTCCTACGCTTTTTATCTATGAGAATTTCTCATGAAATTTGTGCTCATAAGTAATTCTCATAGATTTTACACTATGAGAAATTCTTTTTAAATAGTTTCCATGAGAAAGTCTTTTGAGCAAACATTTATCATGATCAGCTTAATGATGAGAACTTCATTTGACACATTATCTGCGAGAAAACTTTTCAAGTTATTTATTTTAAGTATTTCTCATAGATAATATGTTAAGAGAACCTTTTTCAAATTTGTATCTGTAAGAAATTATTATCTTAAATATTTCTCACAGTTTATTAGTGGTGAGAAATTTTCATTGATAATCGTTGTGAGAAAGTTATTTAAGTAGATATTTATTTTTTAAATAATTTTATTAAATAGTATTAATTAACTAAAAAATTAGATTTATAAAAATGTATTTAATTGTGTATTTTTTTTATTTTATATGAATTTTATTACTAAGTAATTAAAAATATTCAGATAATATTGATTTTGTTTAAGATCAAACCATAAATATTTTTATCTACATTTTTAAGCATAGAAATATTTTATAATAAAATAAAGTAAATATAAAATTTTCTCAAAATTTATATGTTAAGAGAATTTCTCTCAAGTTCTTATCCGTGAAAAATTATTATTGTGAATAATTTCTTACTATATTATTAAATGTGAGAAATTCTCATCAATAATAGGTTTGAAGAAGTTATTTAAGTATATATTCTTTTTACAATAGTGTATAAAAATACTAAGAAATTTTTTCTCTAGGAGCTCTTGATATCCTTAAGTAAATAATAATGAATGGATACTCATTAACTTTATTAAAAAAAAAAAAAGGCCATATAGCTAACCTTGGCCCCAACACCTAGTGCTTTCAAGCTGAACCAATTTCAATTTATATCTTAAAAAAATTAAGATTTGAATTTTATTAATAAAAAAAAGAATTCAGCTATTTAGGCTTGGCCCGGATTTTTTCAGCTTATTATTTTGAGGTAGGTAATGATTAGAAGTTATTTAGATTGATTGATCACATATGATATCCTTATAATTATTTTGCATTGTGAGCTATTGGTATTCATTAAAAGTTAAAAATTGTTCAAAATGACTATTAACAAAATTTATGATTAAAATTAATTTTTTTATTAAAATAAATTTTAAGATAATTGAAAAATTATAGGTAAAATTTATTTTTAAGAAAGGAAGGAAAACATTTAATCATTTTGGGAGAAGATAAAAATTTAATCATTCATTTATTAGTTTTTGAGAAAAATTTGGGGAAATAAAGGTAAAAGATATTTAACATAAACATTGTTTTGGTCCCTAACATAAACTAATATAATACATATTATAAATAAATTATATATTTAATTACTTCAATTTAAAAATAAACTTTATAAATTGGTTTATTTTTAAATTGGTTAAAATGTTTATAAGAAATTATTTAATATTTAAATTTTTTTAAGTTCATTTTTCTAACAAAAATAGTATTTGTTGATAAAAATAATATTTTATTAAAAATATAATATAAATAGTCATATTATATTATTAATTAAAATAAAATATAATATATGTATATCCTTTTAGTAATATATTATCTAATATATATATATATATATAAAGTTAATATATATTTAATTTCACATATAATAATTGCAGGTGTGTTTTAATTCAACTAGTAAAGAAGGAAGACACAAAGACTTGGAAGGTGAAAGATAATTAAAGGTTTAAGTTTTGATTTTGACAAATTTTGTAATAAATAAATGATATGGCATGATGAAGGTGACATAGCGTGAGGTGGCAAGTGACGTGTGGCATGAGGTGGTAATGTGGCAGATGATATGGTATGCGATAGCCCACACATGGTGAGTGACATGGCGCTAAGTGGGGTAGGTGATGTGGCATGAGTTAGATGCACAAGTGGTGCTTGATATGGCATAAGGTGTTATGTGATGTGAGATTAACTAATGCATATGTGGCAACTAACATGGAGCAAGGTGGCAAGTGACATGGCATTAGTTTGTACTTTTTTTATGATACATCATTATGAGAAACTAACAAATTTCTCTCACAATACATGTGTTGTACGTGAGAATTTTTCACAGAGCATGGTTATAGAAAATTCTCATAGCATAACAATATGAGAGAAATTCTCATACCGTTTATGTACGAGAAATTCTCATACCGTTTATGTACAAGAAGTAACTAATACTATATTTTATCTTAGATTTACATTGAAATAACTTCTCTCAAAATCATTATGTTAGAATCTCTCGCGGTTTCAAAGATTGTGAGATCTTCCTACAAATAACGGCATGAAAAATGGTTCTTAATGTTTTGTTTTTGTGAAATATTTTTTTTTTCATTTGATGTTTTAGTGACAAAATTTCTGGTATGAGAAATTCTGTAAGAAATGATATCCTCACAAAATTTTGGATGTTTTCTCACATAAATGTGCTGTAAAAAAATCACCGTTTTGGTGTTTGATCAAACCCAACCAACTATAACCCTCTCTACAAGAAGTAATGTCAGTTAGTAGTGTTTGTTTATATAAGTTGTTATTAATAGGATCAATGTAGTAACTAATACTATATTTTATCATATTTTTTGAGAAAATATGACAATGATGTTTCGAATGCATCATTATATAAAGTATGAGTGGTAACTTTAATCGATAGATCATATCTATACAAATTTTGGAAACATCATTAATTTATAACTTTTTTAATTCCTTGAAAATTTTAAAAAAATAAAAATATTTTAACTTTTATCTATTATCTCATGTGAGTCTTTAGTGTCTTTATTATTTTCCAATTTACCTTAACCAACACATGTCAAAAGAAGATGATGATGTACATCGGTAAATATGAGAGCTTCAAATAAAAGGCTCCACCACACCTCTCAATCTACTCTCTATCGTGTTTCTCTTCCATTGTCATTTCAGATAACACACAATATAATAATGGCACTGCACTGTCTTTCAGATCCTGTCTTTACGTTGAGGAGGCGCCAACCAGAGCTAATATCTCCGGCAAAGCCTACTCCTCATGGCATGAAGCTTTTATCTGACTTAGATGACCAAGATGGCTTACCTGTCCAAACTCCAATCGTACAATTGTATCGTTTTCAGCTTTCCATGGCAGGAAAAGATCCAGTCAAAGTGATCAGAGATGCGTTGGCTCAAACACTTCTGTTTTACTATCCTTTCGCAGGAAGACTGAGGGAAGGTGAAGGTCGCAAACTTATGGTGGAATGTAACGAAGAAGGTGTCATGTTCATTGAGGCTGATGCTGACGTCGCTCTTCAACAGTTTGGTGATGATCTTCAACCTCCATTTCCATGCTTTGAAGGTCTGCTTTACTCTCCTCTTGGTTCTGATGGAAACCTTCACTGTCCTCTCGTGCTTATTCAGGTACCTTTTGCACTCATATTTTTCTTGTAATTAGTTTGTAAAATAATCGACACTCCATACTTAAAAGGTAATTGTCACTACCATAAAAAACCCTTTACTTGACTGTTATTTTTGACCTCATTTATTTGATATTAACTGTCAAATAAAGTAGTGTCATATATTGAAGGCCCAAGGATGACTTTACTTAATAGTTATTTAGATATAACCGACAAATATTGTCTTTCATGTCTAACATTTGATCAGTTCTAGAAGACAACATTTGACAGTTAGTTTAAAATATGTGTGTATTAATAGAGAAAGATATAACTACATGTCTCGCTATTTTTAATCTAGCTTAGTGACTGCTATACAAAACATCAATGCAATATGGTACGCGAACCTTAGTTAGGAACGAGCACATTAATTTATACGATTTATATTATGTTCTTTTTTTCAAAACCTTATGTTAATAATGTTTGAGTCTAAAATTAAGCAAGGGCTAAAAGGACAGCCTTTCATAAGTTTCATTTAGTAGAAGTCAGGTACATCTACTCAAGATTATTTGAGTCTTTGTTTTTGTTTTTTCGTTGGATATAGGTTTAGGGTTTAGTCTACATTTATCAATTTTATTTTATACTTATTAAAATAAAAAAGATAAAATTTTAATAAATCTATTTCATCATCAATATGGACAATACAAATTTAATTTGAATGATATAATTTAATATTAATTTTTTAAAATTGACTATTTATATATGTACTCTGGATCCAATCTGTCCAAAGTATATCTAGATAGTCAATTTATAAAAAAAATTTAAAAAAGATTAATATTAAATTGAACTATCTTGATCAAATCTTCATTGTCCAAGACTCCAAGTTGATAATAAAATTGATTTATTAAAATTTTATAATTTTTTATAATACAAATAAAAAAGTTAAAAATTTGGACCGTCCAAATGTTCATCAAGTGGTGCTCATCACTTGATAAGTACCATAACCGATTAATACAATGTGTAGCTAGGCTCCTCTCACTATAGGAATTTTGCTAGACTGTTTGATAGATTGTTTGAGTTTTTGATATACATTTTTTTATCAAGGATTAAGATACATTTTTATTTCTAAACTTTTTCTCGAAGAACAATTTTGCCATGTACTCATAAGTGGAACAATTTTACCTTCAACTTATTTTTTTTAATAGCAAAAAAAAACTTTCTACAAAATGTCTAGCGCTCCTAAAAAAAAAATTTAGAGGTAATATTGTTTCACTTATTAGTACAAGAGAAAAATTGGTCTTTGAGAAAAAGTTTAGGGGTAAAAATGCATCTTAACTTTTTTTGCCAATGGCTAATATCTTGTTTATGATAAAATAATTGAACTTCAAATAAAAATAGTTATAATTGTTAGCACTAACACTGATTTTAATTGGAAATGAAACACAATTGTTCCTTCAGTATCCACTACTCACTCAAAAAAAAAATTGCAAAAGAATTCCTTAAAATTCTCATAAAATTTAGGAAAAAATCATCAAAAATTTGAAAGTGCAATATCCATGGCTAATTAAATCCTTATAGAAAATTCTTATAAGATCCTCTCTAGCTTTTGTTTGTAGACTTAGCTTCTATTATTCTTAATCTTTTTCTCTCCCTCACAGTGATCTTCTTCGTACTGATGCATAAAATTCAACTTCATCATTATTTTCTCCAACCCTTTTTCTTCTCTCTAAATTCCACAAGAACTTTATAGGTTTATAACATAAAAACTCTAAAGAGCATACCTATCCCATCAATTATATTGTACGTAGGTAACACGTCTCAAGTGTGGTGGTTCCATCTTAGCTCTTTGCATAGCTCCTAGTACCTCATCAGTTATCTCTATTGATCTCTGGAAATGTATTTGGCAGCTCAAGCTTCAACCAAAAATCAAACATTTTCTTTGGAGAGCTTTGAATAACTCTCTTGCCACCAAACATGCACTCTATAACAGGAAATATACAATTGATCTGCTATGCCCCATATGTCATTCACATCTTGAAACTGTTAAGCATATGCTTCTTCTCTGTAATTGGGCCAAGCAAGCTTGGTTTGGTTGTTTTTGACCTTGAAGATTGATGCTACTCATATTACATCTTTTGATTGTTGGTGCTGTAAGTTTTTCCTCCATGACTCTTTAATTGATGATTTTGGCAAACTGTATATTGCCAACTTATGCTGGAATATTTGGAAGTTGAAATCAGCCTCAATCATTTTTAGGGCTATTGTTGATCCTTTCTCAGTAGTATCAATTACTAATGCTGCTATCTCTGAATTTTGAAAAGTAAAATTTAAGGAAGAACTTGCTATTGAACCTATGTCTAGAATATGGATGCCCCCTTCACTGAATGTACTTAAAGTAAATTGTGATGGCTCATTTCTAACTTCTAGCCAGGCTGGTATAGGCATAGTGTGGAGAGATCATTCATGCAATTTCATCAAGGGCTGGTGTGAAAGTGTCATTGCTTCATCTGGGTTTATGTTTGAACTACGTGCCTGTTAGAAAGCTCTTTCTTTACTTCAGGTTGAAATTTATCAATCTATAGTTTTGGGGTTTGACCACCAAGATCTTTTTATAGCCTTATCATCTAAATGCTATGATAGTTGTAATTGATTGTTTCATGGGCTGTTATATGATCTAATACAGTGTACCGAATCTTTTCCTTTGCTATGCTTTTCTCCGGTTAGACGATTAGGGAATCTTATTGTGAATTATCTTGCTGCCTCTGCTTCTAAAGGAGTGGAACCTTTGGGTTGGATTCGTGAACCTTCACTCCCTCTTTCATCAATACTCTTTAAAAATTTATGCTCGTTTCAAACTACCTCACAACAGTTCTTTTCTATTCATAATCAAGAGGGGATCAGCTAGATGTTATTTTGTTTCTTTTTGTATTGTTGCCTTTGCTTTTGGCTTATAGCTTAAACTTTGTTCTCTTTCCATTTAATGCATCTTTCCCCTTTACTAGTTTAAAAAAAAAAATCTTAGCTCTTCACATGAATCACAGTATGAGTGATGGACCTGGTATTGTCCAATTCATGAAAGCCATGGCCGAAATAGCCAACGGAGCAATTGAACCTTCAATTCTACCTGTATGGCATGGAGAGCTTTTAAACGTAAGAGACTTACCAAACATTACATGCACTCATCATGAGTATCGTGAAATGGTTGGCAACAACCCCCTTTCTATCATAGACATGGTCCATCACTCTTTCTTCTTCAGACCCACTGAGGTTTCTTCCCTCCGTAGGTTACTCTATTGGAATTTTATTTATGGATTAACATTAATTAATAAGCTTAAGCAGATTGGTCATTATAATCTTGTGTGGACCGTGATAGATGAATTACACAAGTGAGCCCAATGGATAGAGGCCCAACTCATAACTCAGTAGCCGTCAGTTATTTTTTATCTCTTAACTGACTGAATCAAAAATAATGAAATATAATTATTTAATAAAGTGATTATTGATCTGATCTTTATAAGTTGATCAGTCAATAACCACTACACACACGATACATTTTTTTCTACTCTATTATCTCTGCACTCTGTGAAGACTTTAGGGTACAGTGGGTTATGCATTTGTCCACACTCGAGGAAATCGAGCTATCTTAAGCGATTAATGGATTCTTCAGATACACACATGTCACTTTATTCTATCTTATTAGATCATATATGAATTGAGATATTAGATTTAATATACTCCCCGACCACCTATCTCTCTCCACCTCATATGACGTCGTCACGACATGCCTTTGGTGTTGCCATACAAAAGCCTTACAACTTGACCCCCTCAAAGAAGTTCGTGTCATGCTTATCACCAACGCACGTTCGGGACGTAATAACAGATTCAACCCTCCATTACCAGAAGGTTACTATGGGAATGCCTTCGTGTATCCAACTGCAATTTCCACTATCGGGAAGCTCTGTAAGAGTCCATTAGGGTTTGCGTTGGAGGTAGGGATGAAAGCGAAAGATGAAGTGAATGATGAGTATTTTCACTCTGTGGCTGATCTTATGGTGGTAAGAGGACGACGAAGCTTCACGACAGTAAGATCATCGTTTATGGTATCGGATCTGTCACGTCTTGGATTTAAAGACGTTGATTTTGGTTGGGGCAAGGCAGTGTATGGTGGTGTTGCAATGAGTGGACTTGGGACATTTTCAGGACTAGGTTTCTATGTTGGATTTAGAAACAGTAAGGGAGAAGAAGGAAGAGTTATACCTATGTGCTTGCCGCTTGAATGCATGGATAGGTTTGCTAAAGAGTTGGATCTTATACATAAAGGTCTGGAGTGATCTAATTAATCAATTAACCATTGATGATGAACTACGTTGCTAGCTACTAGCTACTAGCTACTTGGTGCATTATTATTGTGCAGAAGTTGAAGAATGGATTCCCTACACCAAAAATATTGATCTTCTTGAATGCTTCTTAGTATTCATTTGTTAGGATTGTCAATGCCTCCAGAGAACAAGTTTAATTTATATTTGATGTCTTCTCAAAGTGTTAATTGATGCCACTTGCTATAAATTTATGTCCCAAAATATAGTAATGAAGCTTATGTATTAATATCGTTGATAAATATTCCTTTTATATAGGTTAAAGTTAATTAATTTTGAATTTATGAAAAAATGTTAGTTATTATTTAAAAATTATTAAAAAATTATATATATACTTTTAAAATTTTATCGTTCTTTGCAATTAATAATTGTAATAAATTATTGTTTAGAGAATTCAAACCATAAAATAAACAAGGGTAAGATTAAGAATAAAATTAATTACTCTAACTTTATACATTATATTATGTATTAATTAAGGATAAGAGGGAGTATATAGTGGGTGTTAATGACTAATGAATAATAACACCTCCGACTTTATTTAACAATAAGGTGTTTCTCATAAATTGGTTCGGAGGTGCTATAATATCTAAAGTTTAGCTTTTGTTGGCAAAGAAGAAAAATCAATAAACTTATTACATATTCAGTATATACAAAAGCATTTTCTAAAAATTAAAGAAAATAAAAAAATACCTAAAAAGAAAATGAGATAGTTGCATTTCTCATTTTCTTCACTAAAAAATATTTTTCTATCTACCAGACATTATATGCAGTATTTAGTTCTTATTTTAAGATGCCTTTTACAAGAGATGGGTGGTCCTTATATTATTAGTTATTATAAATGACTTGATGATGTATTAATTAAGGTTTTCTGATATTATTCCTATTTCATATCATTAACTATGAAAGAAAATATAATACAATGCAATTTGAAAAATTTTCAATTAAATATGAGTAAAATAAAAAAATTATTTTATTTTTAAATAAAATTAATAATTTAATCACATCTTATTAATTCTAGCGAAATAGTTAATTAGAGTTATTTTATAATAGGAACTGAAAGAAGTGTAATATATATATATATACTGATATACACACACACTACATATATCTAGTACAATAAATATTATTGAGTCTGATAATTTTCTCAGACACGTGAACACATTCCTATGTACTACTAGTCATAACCTCTTTAATTTAGACACGCATCCACCACTAATAATTAATAAATTAAACTATCTATGAAGCATGTTATAAACATCATAGAATTTTACGTGTAACAAAACACATGGCTTTACGTATAAAGATTAAAAAAAAATGTCCTGGCTGAATTTGGGTTATAAAGAATATAGATCTGAATACTTAAAAATTGTCCTAGATGAATTGATTTGGCTATAAACACTAGACCCACACACACATACCCCACAACATACACACTTGGTTCTATCTGAATTCAGGTATAATTGTTCGGCCAAAAAAAAAAATTGAATTCAGGTAGAACTATAAACATTATAAATACGTGTACCAAAACACATGTTCATCTTATCAAATGAAATTAAAAATGACTGAAACATCATTCCTTGATTTATTGATTGAAACATGGTGAAGGGATCTCGTTGTCTGCTGCTTTACAACAACAATATAGAAGTGATATATATATATATATATATATTACAGAAATAATAGTTAGATTTAGATTGTTTAAATATGATTTGAACGGCCTTGTCTTCTATAATTGTTTAAAATTCTATCTCTTGTTTTAACAGAAAAATATATACTACAGCAGCCGCATAAAGTTTCCGTAAAAAAAGAAAAAAAAAAAACACACACACACACACACATTACATGAATTTTTAAAACGATAAGAACTAACATTATAAACGGATCAAACTAAAGAAATTACAAACAATGAAATAAAACTATAAGAACTCAAAAAACACAACATAAGTATAGGAATCTACTACTATATTCTCCTTTGTTTAAAAATAAAACTCTTAATACATAAAGTCTGCATGTAAGGCGATATGAACTCAAAGGCATAATTCCCTAACAAATTCAATATGTAGTATACAAAATATTAGGTAGTTGGGTTTTTTTTTTTTTTTTTTTTGCCCCAACAAAAGACGAGATTATATTTTCTTGTGCTTGTAACAAAGGAAGAACCGCATGTATGTGGTATCAATTAAGTCAGAAATTTTATTCTAAAGTCAAACATGCAAATAATAAGTAATGTTACCACTGCAGTGTCATATAAAAATAACTAGTTTTTATTCATTTTTTAGATTCAAAGCTTGAATTTTAGGAATTCTCATACATCTATCATAAAAAAGAAGATTCTCATATATACCAAGCGAACATCATATCATCAACAAATATACTTGCTAAATTGAGTTTGCAGACATGAAAAACAATTCATGCACCAAAAAAGAAAATATTCAAGGATTTATAGCTTATACGGAAAAAAATCTAGAAAACAAAAGATGTTGTAAGATTAATGAATCAGCAACAAGTTGCATCCAAACTAACAAGATTTTTACCTATCTCGCTAAATAATTCAGCTTCCCTTGGTAAAACTTTTCCCCATGCAATTGCTACTCTACAACTTCAGCAAAGCAACAATATATTGTTAAAAAAACACACCAAGACACTCGCCTATTTACGCCCGTACATGCAGAGCCATCCGGTTAAACAATAATTGCATGTTTATTACACATAAAATTGTTTTTTTAAAAAGAAAATAGGAAATGTGAATCGGAGTTTGAAGAAGAGGAAAAAATCATCAACTCAGAACAAATAAAGAAGGATTTATTCAAGAAAAACATAATTTTTCATCCCTATGGTCTCATCGAATTTTACTTTTAATCCTTATAATTTTTTTCCAATATTTTCAGTGCTTATAAGAGCTAAAAATACTGAAAAACTGAAATTATAAAGACCTATAAAACAAACTTCACCCAATATTTTTGAAATTATAAGAATTGAAAACACTATAAAAAAATTATAAAGACCAAAAGTACAACTTCATGAAATTATAAAAATTGATGATTTATGTTCTTCCTTTATTCAATTACATGGCATGAGAACTCCTAGAATATGGCACTATTGGAGCCTTCTATTTGATTGTATTAAAAGGCCAATGAATTGAGGTTTCCTTGTTGAACCTAGTCATTTCGGGGCAAGCAAATTATTATTTATGATGAAGAGGATGGGATTACAGAGAATGATTCAGAGTTCTTCCAAAGTGGAACCACGTAATATCAAACACAAGATAGATCTTCGAAAGAATAAGACTTTTTTCAAATAAGCTAAGCCAATTCATTAGGGACTTGTGGATCCACTCTTTTTTCTATTCAAAGATCAGCATTTTATCTGTGTTTTTTCATTGAGAATTCTATGTAGAGATGTCAAGGGGATTTCTTACTTCCCAAATAGATCCACAAAAAAAAAAGGATAAGTACACTTCTTATTTTCTTTTCAGAAAACACTTTTCCATCCACCAAACATTACATAATAGTGCACAAAAATACTAGCAATATAATTTCTCTTGCTCTGTTAATTTACATTCCCATATTGACACTCTTGATTAAACAATGAAATCATCTTCTTGGAATTTATCCAGAAAACTAAACAATCTATACTCTACCTAGACAAAAGGCAAGCTTGATCAGCGAAATCAACAAGATTATATACCAGAAATATGAAAACCCCACAGACACGCACAGTATTTCAAGTTAAGAGGAGAGAGAAGAACAATATATCTAAATCAAGAAGACATAGTAGTAAGAAACTACATGAGCAGACTAAGAAGCGAGGCACCCAGAATAGCAGAAAAGGAAGATGAGAAACTCACCACAGTGTAGAGCCTGCTAGGTCTTCACGGGTTTCCGCCGCCAACAAGCTTCCAATATATTTTTTCTCTAATATTCTTTATAATACCGTCTTTCTATTGTTTTTGCCTTTCTTTTAGATCAATAACTTTTATATAAAAGAAGATATATTCTGATATTTTATAGTCTCAAAACAGGAGACTATTTGTATTTTCAATGATTTTTCAAAGATATTTGAAAAATCATAATAAAATACATAACTCTACAGTTTGACATTATGACATCAAAATGCATCATATTTTACATAGAAATCAACAATCCAAGAAAAAAAGAAAAATAAAATTGATAAAGCAAAGCATGACAAGCCATGTTAGAAAAGGATACATTAGACACTTCAAACGCTAATCCATCACCCTGAAGCTGATTTTACTGTAATCTTAACGCACGGCGTTTATAACGATATAGTGCATTGCCTTGTTCAGTGTAAATTACTCATAAGCCCAATTAAAAGGAGAATGATAAATAAAAACTTTATAAGAATATTAATGTTCTCAAATTTCAGTATTCTTTTTATCATATTTCAATATTAAAATTTTTGCAAGGTTCTTATTTATCATTCTCTCCCAATTAAACGGCCAACAAACAACACAGTAACATTGCAGGAAATTGTAGGACTTGAAATAATTTAAAATTAAAAAAAAAAAAGGTCTCGACCCCAAAATAACTTAGACTGCAAAAAAATGCACCGAGGTTAAGAAAAAATTCTCTATATTACCAATTTCTGCATCTCTTTTCCCAGAATCTTACTTCTCATCAAGCTCCCAATAGTGTTGGCCACCATCTTTACATCCTCCAACCTATCCCCATCTGCCAGCTTCTTATACAAGTAGCTCTCAAACGACATGCGTTGCACGTACTCATCCCCACACAGCTCCACCAGAGCCTCCCTGCACGCGTTACTACCGTAAAATACCCTCTGAAGCAAATCCAGAAACCTAAAAGTGCTTATATACTTCGCATCCCACTCCTTCAAGTACTCCCTCCTCAAATCACTCTCGTCAATCATCTTCATCCCACCTTCGGATGCCTTTACGACAGCGTTTCCACACATCCTTCCTGACTTCGCGGCAAAGTATATTCCTTCCCCTGAACACTTCGTTACGTACCCGGCCGCGTCACCTACGAGCGCCACGCGTCCTCTGACCCGAACCGGACGAGGGTGTTCGGGTATCGGGTGGGCCTCCACTTTGATCACTTTTCCACCGTTGATCTTCGGCTTGACTCTTTCTCGGATTCCTTTTTGGTATAACCTAATGTCATGTTTGAGGCACACAGTACCAGTGCCCACTGCCACGTGGTCGCATTTCGGGAAAACCCATGCGTAGAAGTCTGGCGAGACATCGCTGCCAACGTACATCTCGGCGAGATTTTCGTAATATGCCATTTTCTCATCTGGTAATTTGATTCTCTCCTGGAAGGCGATGGCGCAAGTGTAGCTACCGGCGTCGATTGATTTGGCGACTCGGCTGTTAGCGCCGTCTGCACCGATCACGACGTCGACGGCAATAGTGCCCCGGGAGTTGTTCTTGGCGGTGTAGTGAACGATGTAGGGTGAGATCGGCGAGGTCGGGACCACGAGATTCGTGACGAGGCCGGCTATGAGATTAGCGCCGGCAGATTGTGCTCGTGACCGGAGGAACGAATCGAGAACCTCGCGGCGGAGCATGGCGATGAACTCGTAAGGCTTGAGCGTTTTGCCGAAATCGACGGCGATGTTGGAAGGGGAGAAGATCTTCACGCGATTGACCTGGCGATCAATGAGCTCGAGCGGGATGTTGAACTCCTCGAGCATGCAGAGCGGGATGGCGCCACCACATGGCTTGGCAACTGTTGGCGGGTTGCGCTCGAAGAGGAAGGTCTCAATGCCGCCGGCCGCTAGGGCCTCAGCGGCAGATGAACCGGCGGGGCCGCCACCAATCACGGCTGCTCGTAGCTTTCGGCCGGCAATGGATGAGATCCCGGATTTGAAGGCTGAGATCGTGAAAGAATAGGGTTTAAATTCTGGGCTTCGGTTTTTGGCGGATAGTGAAGGTAAAAAGGTAGATTGGAGATGGTAAATTTGAGCAGCCATGGAAAATGTTGAGCTATGAGCTCTGCAATTTAGGGTTTTACTCAACTAAACTAATCAATACCGAAGAGAAACACGAAGCTGAAATTAGCTAAACTAATCAGTTAATGTGCATTCACACTGTTGCTTAAAAGTGAAAAGGCAAATATAGCATTCCACCCTTGTTATGATTTGCTATTACTAAAGACCAACAATAAGCCAAAGCCCCAACTTGAAATTCTTAATTCATACTTTAATGCAGTGATGGGGAACAAAGACAAGGTTCTGCACTGTGATATGTCCTACAGGCTATTTTAATATTCATCATGCCAAGCCACACTTTTCAAAATATACACCCTTTTGAGATTATTTTACCTGAGATTGGACATTTGGACTCGAGCTTTTCAAGACAGGTTAAACTCCAAATAATAAAATCTTTTCTGCAAGACATTTACTAATTTGCAAGTTATATTTGAAAGTGAAGCAAGGAAAGCAAGTTTAGCAACATAAAAGCTACATACACGTAACAAACTGCAACAGAAGTTTTAATGTTATTTAAAGTGGGGCGGGGGGATAAGAGCTAATTGTACAAAATTTACATTTACATTAGGAAAAAGGAAATGAATAAGCTCTGATTTTTCTCAAGCAAGGTGCTTAGGCTTTGGTGACTAGTTCATGGATGGTGAGAGGGTGGCAAAGGCCAGAGAAGGGATGGCCAGACCAGGCTGCATTAGCTAGAATGGAGTTCACTGCGTAAGTGGGGTTGAGTAAGTCCCACCAAACATGGCTTGAAGCTTGATCACAGGCTGTGTCCATGGAGATGCAGCCAACTGTAGCATTGTACAAACCAAGCCCACAACATGCACTTTTTGTGTCATCAAAACCTGTACATCGATAGAGAAATTTATGATCATCAATATATCTATGTATTAAAAACAAAAATGGTTGACTTTGTGGAAGATTCACTATTCATCTACCTGGATTTAAATTCAAATCCTGAACATTGTACCGGAGTATTGTTAATTTCTCACATTTAGGAAATGCATAATAAGGCTTATAGGCTCTGACAATGATATCGAATCTTCAAATGCTTGAGACAAGACATTAAACATCAAGAGTAAAATGAAATTAATGCATGTTGGTCAAAAAAGAAAAATGAAATCAATGCATTGCTTTTCAATTAATCTGCGAAGGACAGATGCTGCCATAGGCGCAGTATACAACAAGAGTAGGTCAATTAACAAGTCAGAAAATTTCAAATGCATTATCTTATACCATTGTTTTCTGAAAACACAACAATCAAATAACAAAATGTTAAATTGTGTCATCAATAGGGTTTATAATTTCTCTCTTTATTTCACTGATTTATTTGCTTAATTTTGCCGCCTTCAAAATCAAAACCATTGGTTAGTGGCCTCCAAAGCTAAAGACGCATGAACTCATAACTTAAGTGACATGGCTGGATTCTGCTTCCCGACAACTCAAGATCTATTTTCTAGTCATTGGAACTTTGCATCTCTAACCTATATGGTTCATTTTTAAGATAAAATTTATACGAATTGTGAAAAATAAAACATACCATAAAGATTTCCCTTTTTCATGATCTCCATTAGTCCTTCATATACATCACAGAACACGATATGGGCATCAGTGAACTCCTTATTAAGCTCCTCGATATGCTTAGCAAGCAATTTATTGTATTCTAAGACCAACTTATTGGCTTGATCCACGCAACTCTTACCATGATCATCTCCTGCTGATGATGCCCGATTGCAAATCCAGGCCACACGTGGGGTGAATCCCAAAGGAACTATTCCCAAGCATATGATCTTTCTTGCATTTATGTCATAAAGATACCTCAATGCATTTGTCATTTGATTGACTAAAATGGTGGCGAAGTCATGGACATTGTAATTGAATACTTTGCTGGAGATGTTACCGAGGAGGAGATCAGTGTAATCTTCTTTGCCAAACGAGAGGATGAAGATGGAAGACTTCGTGAATTGAAGCGCAGTGTCCTCTCTAAGATGCAGCTGCAAGAGCTGTAAAGTCTCAGAAACTTGACGGAGTTGTTGGGTGAGAGACTGGTGGCTCTGTCTGCCCCTTCTGCTCATGATTGTTGCTTGTGTTGATCCAAAGTTGAGGCCCTTAAGTACCTCATTCAGAGACCCATTTTGGCTATAAAACGGACGGATTAATGGCAATCCTATTTTCTCCCCTGCAAGAAAGATTTCTTCAGAAGAGAGATTCTGAAGTACATATAATAATGTATCAAGTTAAGTAACAAGTCAATAAAAAATCATTATTCTGAGTGTTTCATGCGGTAAAATTATTTGCTCACAAGCCATTTTGGTAATATCCGTTAACTACTTACACTCTTTAATTATACAAGCAGCATTAATTCTTATGTGCATATAAAACATTAAGCGAACACAAAATTAAAGAATAAAAACTCTCTACAGTGGTTGTTGCAAGTAACAGAATTTACTGATAAAATTGCTGAATCTCTGATAAAATACAGTATGATGTTTTAATTACGTTTAAACACTGTGCCAAGTTGTGTTATCCTTGCAACCAGTGTTCATAATAGATTTTTAATACAAGTGTGCATGGAAGAATTCTACTAACCACTAAAGCGTATCTAAGAACAGCTAACAAGGGTCCCATGCAAGTAGGGACTAGAGGAAGGATGTGAGTTTAATCAGTGGATAATTCGGAAAAGTGAATTTTCACTGCCTGGATGTCCTTCAAATGTTCAACAAGAGGTTATGGATTGTGCGTAAATTCATTGAACAGATTATCATTACTCACAATGAGTTGCATGAATTAAGATCTCCTAGTGTTAACTTCAAATATTGGCGAAATGGAGGTTTCTTTGATTAAGATTTTCATATATATATATATATATATATGGATTGAGCAACACATATTCATGCTGACGAGATTCCCCGATTTCATCAAGAAATCCAGATGCAGGTCAAGAAAAGGAACAAGAAACAGGGAAGACAAAGAAAAATAAATTTACCAAGTAATTGAGGAAGAAGGGAAGCATCGGAGCCATCGCAAGAATAGAGAGAGAAACGAGCATGAAGCAGAGGATAGAACAGAGTGTTGTTTCCGCAATCAACGGAAGAATCGCCCAACACATACAATGCGGAGATATTCGAGCCAATTCTCGAACTGGCCATGGTGGTTGTCTCTGGGAATCGGCCATGAACTAGGCTCAGCGAATTCGTTAGTAGAACGATAGCAGGTAGAAGAGAAGGAAGAACAACAAACCATCTCATTCTCTTTTCGTTTTCGTTTATATTTGTCTTTTTCCCTCTCAAATTGCGTTCTCTTCTTCAGCTCAAGCTTCAAGAACTCGTCTATGACACTGAAATCATTTGAATAAGTTCCTGTGATTATGGAGTTAATCGCAGGCATAATCAAGGAGAGAGAACTTGGCCTACTACTTATTTCTTTGATTATATGTAAAAATTGGCTAAAAAATAAAATAAAAATAAAGCTTGCAATTTGGTATGATCGGTTTTTAAAACATGGTAGAAATTCTTGTCAAGACCTTCCTGTTCTAGTCATAATAATTTTTTCCTACTATGATTATTGTTTTTTGACTGAGTTTATTATTATTTTTCTTAAACATAAGATCAATTTACAAAATATTTTTAAATTTTAAAGCAGGTAATTACATTTAAATCTTTCAAAAAAATTGTACTTTCAGCTAGATAGTAAAATTAGTGAAATTTCGCATATGGTTCAAAATAGATTCTTCTAAACTCTTTTTTTCCCCATAAATAATTTTCGTACGCTTTAAGGTATTAAAAGTTTTTTTTTTTTTTAATTCAGCTCCCAACTCCCAAATGTCACGTTCCTTAACGAAATAATTGACAAAGTTGAAGGCAAAAAATAATTATACAAACTTAAACACTCGGAGATTTATTATCAAACTAGATTATAAATTCATGGTTTATACTTTAATTTTAATTATCCATAAAATAGATACATAAAAGTCAAAGATCATCAAATTAATTTGCAAATAAGCAAAGCTATTGGTAGGCCACGTCCATGTCCGCTAAATTTGACAGGCACTAAATCAGGCTTTTTTTCTCAAAGAAAAATAACGTATTCGGCACACAATTTTAGGAATTGAATTTTAAATATTTTTTTTTAAATTGAGATTATAGACCCGAGAAACGACTAATTCTTAGGAAAATCCCACTTGTCCCTTGAACATGTTAAACATATAGGCATTGGAGGGTAGGGACTAAGGTACTGGAATTGATAAAGCTCATGATTAAGATGTTTGGTAGGATGAATTAAGAGTGGTAAAGCCTATCCACATAGGATTGGTGAAACCTAAAATTTTATTCTCGAGATTGAAATTTCCATCTTCGGTCACCTTCATCCTCATCGCCAACCCCTTCAAATTTAGACCTTAAATAATGCCCTCGAGTGCTTTCTTTCTGATTATTCATACAAATTTCACACAATAAAAGAGGCAGATACTAAGACATGCATGATACAACAATCAAGTCACCATCATGCGAAAAGGTAATCGTCTGAGATACTTTCACTTCAGAAACTTACAAGATCAGAATCTAAATTTGTCTGCTACTAATACTGATTAATACTTGCTTGAAATCAAATACTGTATCCATCAACGTGCATTTTAAAACTAAGTGAGAAGAGAAACAAACGCCTAATGTTGTGTTAGATGCTATGCCTTCAGCTTTCCACTCACCCCACGCTTACTAGGCCAAATACCATTTCCTGAACTTTTCTTGGCTGCTACTGAACATTGATCATTTCTGCCATTTTTATTGCTCACCTCAGCTTGGAGCCGCCGTCGCCGCATTCTGTTTTCAAGTCGCATCCCTCTTAAAGCACGGGCTCGGCGCTCAATTTCCAATGCTTGTGTGAAATTCCAGATCCTAACTATGCCTTCCTCACCTCCGCAGACAATTCGGTCAGCACCTATATCAACTGAGAAAAGATTGCTCTTGAATCCATGAAGCATCCTCTGGGGGGGTTCTACCGTGCTCCGTTCCAAATGCTTTGCCCTTGAAACTCGCTTCTCCAAAGCACACTTGCTAGATCGCAGCAGCTTTCTCACGTCAATAAGAGCCAACTTGCCATCACTAGATGCTGAAACAAGCCAGGGAAACTCAAAAGAAAGGGAATACACTGGACCAGTGTGAGGAATCCATGTTGCAATTTTCCAAGGTTTGGTTTCAGCACGATCACTCATGATCTCATACATGTTTATTGCACCATCATCGCCTCCAGTAAAAAGGAAATCACCTGTATGGCTTCGTGCCAAAGCATAAGTATTACCAACATGAGCATTATGAATAATGGTCATCAAAGTTCCACTATTAGTATCCCAAACATACACATCTGAACCTGATGAACAGGCAACTGTAGTATTATGGGGAACAAGACCCCATACCCAATCACTGTGCCTCAGCACCTGCGTGCACTTCAGTGAATAACGATCCCACAGTCGAACGGTCATGTCCCAAGAACCACTGTAGATCCTAGTCAAATCTAAGGCAAGTGAAGTTATCGGACCGTCATGTCCCCAAAGTCGAAACTCAGTATTCTGATTATGTGCGCTTCTAAGCTCAAATAGATGAGAGAGTCCTTCAATTGCTCTCCAACAGTGAATAAACCCATCTGTACCCCCAGCAATCAGCAGCCTTCTATCTGCTGCAACAGCACGAATGGTACAGCCAAGAGGTCTCGATGATGCAATAGATAACCCATCTTCCATGTCCCACATCCTCACAACAGAATCATATCCTGAGGTAAATATGAGCTTTGCGGAAGCCAGCAGGAAAACAGTCCTAACCGCCTCAGTATGGCCATACAACACATCAATGCTATAACGTCCCATAAATGTCCTGCTCCTAAACTCCCTTTCCACAAATAGCTCCCTCCATGACTTCTCATCTGTAACTTCTGAATCCAGAACGGCAGGAACTGTTGGAAGTCCCCACCTCTCACAATAGAATTCCTTCCAAGCATGGTGTTCAAATGCAAGTCTATGGAAAATTGTGGAGACGCAAGACACAATACCAAGCTCTTTTGGATCAAGGTAATTCAGAATTTCAGAAATCAAGGCCGGGGGAAGATCAGTAATTGACCGACAATAGTCAAGAACAACATCACTATGAAATGAGGTTATAATTCCTTTCTTGGAAGGAAACTTCGATGCTCGTTTAGATTTGTCAATCTTCTCATATTCAGGTTTGCTATTTAAAAAGGGACCAGATGTTGCAATCCCTTCACACTCGGTTTTGTTAGAAAGCGGATTTGGCTCAGCTATATCAATGCCAGGATCTAACAAAAGTTCTACCAAACTTTTTGAAACCTCGGTACTCGTTGGGCATTCAAATGCCATAAAAATTTGGGATCCTACACTTTAATTTCAAGGGTTGAAAGATCAAACCCCAAAATGACAAAAACAAAAGATATTCAAAAATTACCGAGCCGAAAACGATGAAAAGAATTTGTAGAAAAAATCGAAGGCAAAGAAACCAAACTAAAATTAAGAGCAAGCCACAAGAAGAAACCCTAGAAACGAGCCCCGAATTTCGCGGAAACAAAAAGAATGAAAGTAGGAAATTTTCCCAAAATATTTGACAAAAAGTTAACCAAGGAAGAAGAATTGAAGGTTAATGTGATCTAAGTCTAACAAACTAAATGAGGAAAACAGAAGGAAAGCGAGGAAATTCAAACGAAGATGAAATAAATTGAGCGATTGAAATACCTGAAAGAGGCGAAGCAGAGGGAGACTGAGAGAGAGAAAGAGAAGAGGGAAGAACTCGGAGGGAAAAGGATCCTAAAGTTGCGAGAAGGGTCGGGGAACAGAGAAAAGCGAGAAACAAGAGATACTCATATGGTCCAATTGTCCAAGGCGGCATAGATCGACGCCCCCCTTTCCCTTTTGCTTATTATTAGCCTTTCGTTGGCAAACTAATACTATAACAGAGGGGGGAAAAATAATATATATATATATATATATATTTTCGGTGCTCTTAGGTCTTTATGTTGGGTACATAATTTTATTAAGGGTTAATGAGTATTTTCGTAATGACCTAAAAAAACAAAAAAAACAAAAAAGAAAAGATAAAAAAGTGATGATAGTAATAATAATAATAATAAAATCTGATGGGGCATCTTTTATAATTTTCCCCAACAACTTCGGGTCTTACTTGGTAATTTTTTCAAGGAGCTTATTGTATCATTCTCTCCCTTCTCGGCGGTGGAAAAAGTGCAGAAACAGAGTGACTAGGAGAGCGAGCAAGTGATCGTCCGATTTCATACTTCCCTTCCTCTTCTCCGTCGAACTGCACCTCTGGCCTTCACCGTTGGTTGTGCTCCTTGCTCCACCGCCGTATTTCTGCTGTTAAAGGGCTGAAGTCGTGAGACTCTCTTACTCTACGTCTTCCTCTGTTTCTTCTTTACTTCATTATCGTCAGCTAGAGCGTGGGTGTGCATGGTCTTCGTCTATTTTTCATTCTCAGCTGCTAGACGTTACACATGTGTGGATGGTGAGTTCACTCCTCCTTTTTGCTGGCTGATGATTTCTATCTTCCTCCTATCAGTACTGTCGTTATTTTTTGGGGAGAATATTTGATTTGGGACTGCGGTTCGATTAAGGCAACATGTTAATTCATTATGATGCCAAGCTGAATCTTGATTGTGGAGTTACATGTTTGAGCTGTCAAGATGTTGGTTCATGATTGAGTGAATGATCAATGCTCTCAAAGTATTTGAAAAATTGCTTGAACGAAGGAACTTTGGAAATAAGGTTGTTTAATTTTATATTAGTGTCTGGAAGAATTATGAAATACCACTTGAAAAGCTATGTATATAATTACATAAAGAAGTAATAAGTTGGAAATATTGGTTAAGATCTTGGGTACCTAAAATGGATAATATCAAATTAAATATTGATCTGTGATGCTTCATTAAACATTAAGATAGCATGAATGTATAAAATAGTTTTCTCTTGCTTCTACTGGGTTATGGTTAATTTCTATATAAAAATTTAGTGAAGCATATGTATGACTATTCATATCTGTAGGTAATGTGATGCGAAGTTTGAGATGTAGGAAAGACGAATTTGATAGAATATAAGTTGTTCAGTTTTCTATATTAATAGTTTTGAAGGGACATGCATAAAGACGAATTTGATAGAATATAAGTTGTTCAGTTTTCTATATTAATAGTTTTGAAGGGACATGCATAAGTAGTGATTTAAGTCATTAAATTAAAACCCTATAGTACCTAAGGTAAATTATGTTAAAGTAAATGATGGTTGTGACATTTCATTAAGTTTTAAGAAAGTACAAAAAAGGTGAAAATATTTTCTCTTGCTTTAGCTAGATTGGTAATAAGTTAGTTAATTAATAATGAATTTATTGATTAAATATTTAAGGTTGTGATATTGTTTGGGAATTGAATTTAAATGTTCACCAAATGTTGGAAAATTACTTGATAAATAATCTTAGAATTATAATTTATTTGTCATGAAATTAAAAGTATCACTAAAATTAAAGAGAAAAGTTAAGAGATACAAGTTTTAAAATTTTGAAAAATCTTCAGGTGAGTGGGTAGTGTGCCAAATAATATCTTGTGAAGTGTTTATAAAATTTCTTTATTTAAATGTTTACATTATTTTCTTATAAGTTGTATAAATATTCTTGTCAATTTTAATTTTAGGATTTATACAATTCTTTTTACTTAACTTTTATATTAATTGGTTATTACAAAATTTGCTTTATATTCATTAAGAATTATGCTACTGTTAAAGAATATTTGGATCTAGTACATTATTAATAGAATATTTATTCTAAATATTTTTATTGTTTAAATTTTATGATTTATATTACAGATATAAAAAAAATGGTGATTTATGCATGGAGAAAATTGAAAAGAAAATATGATAGTTGAATATTATATTTTGAAAAGAATGGTTTTCAATGAATGTTTCAACTCCATGCACGCTCAATTTGAATTAGGAGAATTGAGTTTAGAACACTGAATGTTAATGGCAGTTTCGTTACCCCTTAACGTACCATGGTACACCTAGCTAGCAGGGTGTTTGTAAGAGATGCTAGCCCCATGCGCAGGCTAACGCATATGGAACGGAGGGATAGATATTCATGAGTATCGTACTCACATTTCTTTCGTGGGTTTCGTGCCGCATTTGTTTCATGACTTCTAGTCACGCTTGATTATTTTGTGATTTTAAGTCGTGCTTGCGGGTTATTTATCCTCATGAATTATATGTTTACGCTTGTTAATCATTCTAACAAAGCCTCGCTAAAAGTGAATTTTTAAAAACTTATTATTTTTAAATTTATTTTATTAAACAAATTATTGTTTGATCATATATGATTTTATATAGTAAATTTCCCCCTATATTGGTTTTAAAAGAAAATTCATTGTTTTATATTATTTATTTACAAACATTTTTTTATCATTATTTGAATTCCTTTTATATACTTTTATGAGTTATACAATTATTGATAACCTATAAAATTTCAAAATGATTGGTTTAGTTCATGATTACATTGTTGAGTAACTTTGTCATTTATTATTAGTAAAATATGAGTTTTAATATTCCATTGATTGTTGTAAACCAAATTTTATTAATTATTACTTTTACATGTTTTATCTATAATTTTTATTAGGACGCTACCTATCAAAATTTCTTTGGTGTCAGATAATGTAGTTGACCCTGCACCTCTTACTAATTATTAAAGGGCTCTATTGTTTTTTTGAATAGTGGAAGCATGCTTCAATCATTTATTTTAATATAAATATTCATTATATTATACAATGGTACTTAATGCTCCACATATATTGTAATTAAGTTCTAATCCTATTTTATTATCATGTAATTTGTTGGTATGAAGCTAAGCTCTTTTTCTGAATTGGTTGATAGGTTTATTGACTGTAAAAATTTCAAGATGTCTTAATTACATGGGTGGTTTTGCTAAAATTTCTATCAAATATTTAAGACTTTATGAACTTTATAATTATACGTATATATTATATAATTTATTGGTCAGTATAATTTATCTATCACTGTTATAGCTTGATATATGAATAATTAAAACTTAAGGAATATGAGTTTATCTCATATTCCGTGCCGGTCACATCATTAGGACTAGGATGTGAAATTTTGGACCTTAAAGTATTATGCAAAAAGCACTTTAAATCCTAAACTCTTAAAATGTATAAAATAAACCGTAAACTTCTAAATTCAAAACAAATTACCCCCACTGTTAACTATAGATAACGCCATTACTATTCACTTATAAGGCCTTGTCAAATGCTGATGTGTTATTTGTTAATGAGTATCATATACCTTAAATTATTGCTCGAGTAACATCTTGAACTCTGAACTTTAAATTTAGAGTAAATTACTCCCATCATTTATGTGTAAAATATTAGCTATTATGCAAATTAAATTAGCCTTAGTATTATCCACTATGACAAATGCATCATTAGCCAAGGTGAACAACCCAAAATTTTGTGAAATGACATTTTTTGCTCATTTTTTTGCAATATTTTTCAAACGATTGGTATTACATGCTTCTGTATACTCTATAATTTTGATTTAATCTTATTTAAAATAATATTTATTTATTTAATGATAAAAACTTGAGATCCTAAAATGAAGTTTAAATATTAAAGGATTTTCCAGACAATGAATGTGAAAGTCGGCAATTTCATCAACGGATTTTAAACCCAAATTAATTGATTAATTAAAATTTTATGATATTTAAACTTCTTTTCAAATGGGATTCCAAATTTTCACCATTAAAGAAATAGATATTATTCAAAATAATACTAAATCAGAATTATAGAATGTATGAAAGCATGAGATATCAATTATTTAAAAAATATTGCAAAAGGAGGACAAAAACATAATTTCATAAATTGTTGGGTTGTTTGCCATGGCCAATGTTGCGTTTTTTGCAACAGACCATGCTAAGGCTAATTTGATCCAAATAATAATCAACGTTCTACACATAAATTGTGGGGATAATTTTCTCTAAATTTTAAAGTTTAAGGTCTAGGATATTATTCATACAATAATTTTGAATCTGTGGTACTCATTAACAAATGACACATCAATAAGGTACTGCCACATTAGCATTTGACTAAGCCCCATAAGTGGCAGAGCTAGGACCCTAAGTCAGGGAGTGCGAAATAATTTAATAAAAAATTAATATTTTTTTAAAACATAATAATTATGTTATGACTAAAATTATAATAACATAAATAGTTTTATCATCATTTTTTATTTTAAAAAATTATATTGAATAAATTAATATAATCTTTTATTATAAATATGCTCTTTATACCTTATCATGATTATTAAAATATTATATATTTAATAAGTTTTTTAGCCTAAATATTTTGCATTTAATTCAGAAGGTGTAAAATATCAAGAATAGAGGGTGTAAAATTATAAATTTTATATGCCTTACTTATAATTTTTTTCAAAGTGAGGGGTACATTTGCATCCCCTCAAACCAATATGGCTTCGCCACTGCCACAAGTGAATAGTAACAGTGAACAATAATAGTAAATAATAATAACATTATTGATAATTAATGGTGGGAGTAATTTTATTTGAGCTTATAATTTATTTTGTATATTTTAAAATTTTAAAATTTAGGATGCTTTTTGATAATACTTCAAACTTTAGAATGCTGATTAATCCTTATATTAATTTTGGTGATGAGTTGGTAAAAGCATGATGATTGGACATTGTGTAAACAAAATGGTTATTCTTTTTTTTTTTTTTTTGGCCTTAGCCATCACATCATCTTCTTTCAGACGCTTCTGTTTAAGGATTCTGATTTGTTTATATATTTAAGAATTCTGATTTAATATCGTGTGTGTTTATTTGTACCTTCTATTTATTTTTTATACAACTATTCATAATGTTAACAAGTCAGTGTGGGAAGTAATGGAGTTTACTTACATGTTCGTTTTCACTAAATCATTAATTGTTGGCGCCTAAATAGATCAAACCATTTCAATTAAAAACAATCTAAACCCTAAAAAACAAATATGAATTTATTCTTCATCTCATATCACTCATTTGGTTGTTAGAAAAACAGGCAGTAGAATGGAATAGAACTCAACAATTACACCTACGTGTTTTACACCATATTTTGATTCTGCCATTCAAAAAGGAACATTAGCTCTAAAAATTTCATCTCCATCTACCAAAACAATAAAAAATATTTTAAAAAAATGTAAGCATACGACATACAAAAAGTTCACGCCCCTCTTTATTTTTAAAGATAGGATGTCCTAACCACCCAATAGCTATTCCATTTCCATTGTCCATTGAGCCTTCTCTAAACAATCTCCCTTTTGTCAGATTAATATTGCCAATGTAATCATAAAAGGCTAATAGAGTTTAATATGTAGATAATACCGTAGAGATAGAGCTTGAAATAGCTAGAGGGTTGATGAACATGGAGGCTTATACAATTCAAATGAAGGTTCTTACTTGATGTGAGAATCACGACCCATAAGGTACCTTAATTTGGTGAGTTTCATGATTTCAATAAACTTGATAATGAGCTTTCCAATGAAAATAGTGACATGAAGACTTATATACAACCAAATGCACTCCTTATTGAATAGATATGTCATCGATATCATTCTTTAAACTAGAATCAATAATTTAAATCAAACTTGATAAGTCAATCTGAATAAATCTAAAAAAAATATTTAGAGTAGAATTTGAAAATTTATAAATTTTTTTTTTACTTTTGACTTATTTGCGTTACCTAAAGAAATCAATGCTAAGCTCAAATACTAAAATTTTTTTATTAATAAAATAAAATTAAAATTAATTTTTAATATAAAAATTGAAAGTCTTAATTTTTAATATAAAAATTAAAATTGAATAAAAAAGGAAAAATAAAATAATATTTGACAAATCAAATATTCAAACTAGGTTGAAAGCCTAAGATATTATAGTCAAAGTTAACTATATGAGAATTTTTTATATGTTTAGGTATTTTAAATTTATTCTAAATAAGTTCAACATGAATTGAAGTCAACTCAAGTAAGTTTGCCACACAAATTACCAACTCTACCTTAATGGTTCATTTGGATAGAAAGAAAAGTTGGAAGAAAAAAAATGAGGTAGAGAAAATGAAAAAAAGAGAACAGGAAGAAAAATATTGTCCCTCATTGTATTTATATAGACAAGAACAAATGTAGGGGGAAAAAAAGCAAATGTCACAAAGACAATAATACCCATACATTATGTCTTGCATTATTATATATATCAAAATAAATGGAAGGCAAAAATTATATTAAAATTAACACAATCAAATTAGTTGGAAAAATATTTTTATTTTGTAAAACCTTAAAATCAAATAAATTGGTAAAAGGATAATAACTTCAAGAAAGTTATAAATTTGTTTTATTTTTTTAAACTTTAAAATCAAATAAATTGGTAAAATATAACAACTTCAAGAAAGTTATAAGAGGGAAACCTATTCAAAAAGAAAATGTAAAGATAAAAGCCAAAAGATTGTACAGATTATATTTGATAGAGAAGTGATTGGTGAGGCTTGTCTTCTCGTGAAGCAACAGGTGGAAAAAATAAAAGCTTTCTTTCTTCTTCTTTTTTTCCCCTTTATTTCCTTGTCTTCTTTCTTCCATCATTGAAATTTAATAAATAATAATTTTATATATTTTTATTTTTTTAATTTATATTTTTAAATATTTATTTGAGACTAATTAAATTTAATTAGATATTATTTAATTTTATTAGCCAATATTCAGTTTTAGAATTTTAACTAACTAAATATTTAATTTTAAAATATAAATGATATCTTTAATATTTGTACACATGTGCTATTTAATTTTATTTTATTTGTACAGATTTTTTAGATTCAATTTAAAAGATATTGATAAAGAATATTTTGAATAAGAAGAATCTAGGCATGTTTGGAGATCAAATCAAGAATTAAATCTTTAAAATTTTATTTAAATTTACTTTGGATATTTTAGTGTAGTTTTTAATTAGGGATATGTTGGATAATTTTATCATTTTAGTAAATTATTAGATTTTATTTTATTTCTTTTTTGGAAGAGACGCAGCACAGGAGGCGCATGACATTATATATATTATATACATAAATGAAAGAGAGGACTTGGACGATGATGGGGGATGGAGGCATCACAAAAAGAAGGGGGAAACAGGACAGCAGCGATCGTAGTTTATCTTTTTCTTCAATTTCTTTGATGATGGCTTGTCAATTTTTCCTCTTATGTTCCTTAATTTTTAATTTTATAGATAGTTAAATTTCTTAGTGCGATCAATTATAAATTATGATCCTAAATTTTAATCAGAGTCTTTGATATTCAGGAAAGATTTTATTCTAGCTTTATTTCAATTTTCTCTTCTTCTCTTTACCTCTGAATTTTATGCTTTAACTGCTATTGCTAATTAGAGTAGCTTTATTGCATAATTTTTGAGTTATAAATTTTACCTAAGGTTTTACTTGCTATAATCGATTGATATAATAATATAAGAGTAATTTGGCCTAGCGTGGATGATTATCTATGCTTTATTTTTGGTGTGACTAATATGAAACAGTTGTTAGGTTGTGGAGTAAAAGAGATCTCAATTAATCTATAACTTAACTTCTTGTTTAATTCTTAAATGATAATTTGAGAAATATAACGTAAAACTAGAATAATAAAGTTGACTAAAATTAATTTATTTTGTGGATGAGGAAGATTAAATTTACGTGATTGGATTGTGATTGATTGCGCTGCTTATTCTTGATAATTTTCTTAGTTTAATTTCCTTTATTTATTTAATTCTAATTTAGTTTTAGTTTCATCATAAAAAAACTCTCCATTATTTACCTTTTTATATTTATAATTTAAATAGTTACTCTATTGACTCTTAAAGAGACGATCTAAATTTTATTTTATTATAAAATTTAATTTTTATTAATTTTGACGGTATTCGATATCAGTAAAATTTTAACGGGAAAGTGTAGCATTCTGCGAAAGATAGACGAACAGTGGCGATGGGTGGAAGAGAAAAGAGGAAGAAGGTGACCGAAGGGAATGACAGTGAAAAGCATGGTAAACCATAAAAGGGTAACGCTGGAATAAACATTTTCTTCTCCAAATCTCTCCACATAGGTCGAGAAATTTTTAGTAAAAAATGTACTGGGCCCCACCTATTATTTCTTCGGGAGAATTCCAGTTAAATACTATGATAAAAACTTAATTACTTGTAGGTCCAAAAAAATTTAAAATTTTAGTTCAATTCAAGAAAAAAAAAAAATAAAATATCCTTCACTTATTATATAAATTCATTACTGTTAATTTTTTTCTTCACTTGTTAATTTACTAATATGAGTTACAAATGACATGAATTGATATGTTAATAACTATATAAGACTTGACATCAGTTATTCAATTATAAACAGCAATATCAGTTGTTAAATTGTTAAATTTACTTGTTAATTTATTAATATCAGTTGTAAATTATTGACAGGCCTTATAATTTATAATTCATGTTGGTAAATTAACAAATAAAGTTAGCAAATTAACAACTAATGTTACTAATTATTTGATAGATAGATATAATTTATAAGTGATATTGATAAATTAATAAGTAAAATAAAAAAATTAACAACTAATAATTTTATATAATAAGTTAAGAGCATTTTAATTTTTTTACTGTTGAAAATAGTTTGACTTTTCTCCTTTAAATTAAATTAAAATTTTAAATTTTTTTTTAACTCACAAACAATTAAGTATCATTGTCTTCTACTTATTTGCTTTTCTAGTTGGCTTTCCTTTGAACTTTTCTTCCCATCACAAAAGTGTAAAGAAACCGGACGGTAATCTGTGTATCATTATCAGTTTCACATCGATGCCCTATCCCTCAACTGGTCATGTACGGATAAAAGTCTCGTGGATGCGTTTGTGTGTGTGTGTGTATTTGAAAAGTTGTACACTCTAAATTCAAACAAATAGATTATCACAACAAATATGAATATCCAAAGGATACAAAAAACTTTCAAATTAGGGGGGGGGGGGGGATCAAAGAGAAATGACATCACTGTAATCATCAAAGTCATCAAATTTATTATCCTCAACCCTTTTCAGAAGCCTTAGCAAACTTCCAATCGCCAAAATAGCCTTTGGATTCACATCATGCATAGCCCTCGCATACAAACACCTACAAGCATCACTCGCTGCATCAAATAGTTCTTTCTCCTTAGAATTATTCGGACCCATCAAACAATGTCCCAGAATCCTTAAAACTGGTTGTAATAATTCCCATGGCAGAGGAATCCTCCCTTCCTTCTTCTTCATTCTCTTCTCTTCCTCTGTTACAATGATCTCCGGTTCTTCTTCTCCGTCTCCGACCACCTCGTCTTCATCTTCGTCATCGTCATCGATCTGCTTACGTTCGGACTCAGACCCGAACCCCTTGTACATGTCTCCGTCTTGACCAGCCCAGATCTTGCAGAACTCGCAAAGTTCGATTTTTGACTTGATTGGCATCAGGGAAATCTTGCTGTAGTATAACTCTAATGCCACGCCGACGATCCTTGCTCGTCGGGTGGAACGTACGGTGCCGTGGGGTTCGAGGGAGGGTGATACGACGGCGAGGTCGAGGTTGGTGGCATTGTTCTTGACGGTGGATTTGGATTCATGATAGACGCTTGAATGGGACAAGTCAGGGATCGTGACGGTGACGGCTTGGCCGGAGCGAGAGTTGGTTTCGGAAGCATAGAGGGCTAAGAGGACGGCCTCAAAACCGGCCTGAGGTTTCCGGTGGACGATACGGGAGAGGTAGATGCCGGCGACGACGGGAAGGAAGCGGAGGACGACGAGCTGAAGTTCAGGGACGGTAGATTGGAAGGTGTCATAGAGCCAGCGGCAGAGGTTGTTGTCGCCGGAGCCGGAGTTGGGTTCCCGGAGGAGGGCGGAGATGCGGGAGGAGACTTTGGGGTCTTGGAGGAGAGAGAGGGCCGGGTTGTTGGAGGAAGAGAGGGAGGTAGGGATGGAGGGCTCGATGGAGGAGAGAGATTGGATCGCCGATTGAACTTTGCGAATGGAGTCCGGTGAAGGAGGGGCGGGAGCGGCAGCGTCCTCGTCGGACATTGGATGCTTTTGAGGGAGGGAGGGAGGGAGGGAGTGACGAAATGAGGAGGCGTTTCGATTCAGAGTGACGAATATGCGATTTCTGTGATCCAAGGAGAGAAACACGTAAATGAGGGAGAGATTATAGGATCGCATTATTATTATTATTATTATTTTGACATTGGAAAATATATTATTTCTTTTGTTCAAAAATATAAAATATTTTTAATTAAATTTTATTCCTCAATAAAATAATTACTTATTTTTTAATTAATTTTATCTTTTTATATTTACTTCTATTAAACATTCTATAATAAATATAAAGTCATTATTAATAAGAGCTTTTCGAAAAAAAAGTAATGATTATATTTTGAAAAACTAAAAATATTTTATATTTTTTAATATTCAATTTCTCAAAAAATATATTATATTTTTGAACGGAGAGAGTAAATGATTAAAATGTTAATAATTTTTTTAGGTAAAAAATGTAAATTATTTTAGAGCTTAGACAATCACCATATGATTCTTTTATAGGGAGAATTACAACCAGCCCCTTCTCAAAAAAACTAATTACTGACAAGGATCGATAACAAGTCTTATTCGAGAATCAACAAGTCATATTCTGCATTTTAACAATAATCCATTTAGAATTAGTCTTTATTTGTAATTTTTTTTTTTTAAAGGGAGCTGGCTATAGTTTTTCATTTTTTATATCTTAAAAGGAAAATTTATGAATGCATAACTGATATTTACAGGGGGAAGGAACCTCTCTTTTTTCTTCACTCTCACTTCCTTTACTTTAATTTCTTTCATCACCCTGAATTAAAATTTTCAATACTTATGATTCAATATTAGTTTAAATAAAAATAATTGAAAAAAAAATCACTCTAAAACAGAACTGCTAAGAATTTTAATCTAAGGGTAGTGAACAAAAAAGAAGGAAAAGGAAAGTAAGAGAAAAGGAGAGATTTCTCTCTCCTGTATTTACTGAGTGTTAATATTATTAAGATAAGATGGCTAAGCATAATTTACGTTGTAATCGTGCTTTTAATTCATTTCTCTTCTCCTCCTCATATTCTCTTAATGCTAGACAGTATGTTCATTCTATTTTGATGTAATCAATCACATGACTTCCTTGATTTTTTGAATTGTAGGATTTTGCTTTGATTGGATTGTTTGCATTGGCACAATGCCCTTGCTGCTATTGGCTAATGATTTCCTTTCTATTCAAAAATTAGTAAATAAAAACACTCCTGCTTTGATGTTGTCTCATTTTTGTTTCAAGCCTTGTTGTTATGTTGAATCTCTAAGTCTTTTAATCTTTTTTTTTTAACCTTAGAAAAGTTCATCAACCGGAGAGATTATCACACCTAGAGTCGGAAATTTGGGCGGGTCGGGAGCCCGAATAGGCCCGTGTCCTTGAAAAGTCCAAATAGTTAAATCCGGCCTGAATTCTTTCGGGCTTCGCGCGGCCCGAATACCCGAATTTAATTTTTAAAATTATTTTTAATTATTTTTTTACTTTAAAATTAATTATTTTATTTTATAAAAAATATAAAATATATTTTTTAATACTTAAACGATGTCTAGGACTCAAATATATGGTATTTTAGTATAAAATGATCTAAAATTTAAAGAATTAATTAATATTTATTATATTTTATATATTTTTTAAAAATATAATTTTTTTATTCTGGTATTCGGGCCAAGCCCGAACCCAATCGAGCTTGGTCCGAATTTTTCGGGCCTATTCGGGCCGGCCCGAACATAAAAAACCATCCTTTTTTTAAGCTTGGTACTAAAATTTTTCGGGCCAATTCGGGCTAACCCGTCGGGTTTAGCTCGAATTACCGGCTCTAATCACACCTGAAATACTAAAATGATAAAGAATAGACATATTCTAACTAAGTTGTTATATACAAAAAGATTATAATTGGAACCCTTAATTATCTGTTTAAATGATGAGAGTGTATATCATTTATTTTAATTTAAGTTAATGTCTTTTAATCCCCTTTAATTGGTTTCATTATTGTATTCCTTTCTGTACAATATTTCATCAATTTATTGCTATTTTTAACGTTATTTCCTTTTTGTCATTTCACAAATTCATGGTTCTTTAAATTTCATTAATTTAATTTTAGTTTATATAATACACGTGTGTTGGAATATTTATTTATTTATGGATTAACATTAATTAATAAGCCTAAATAGATTGGTCTTTATAATCTTGTGTGGACTGTGATAGAAGGACCACACAAGTGAGCCCAATGGGCAGATCAGTTATTCCCTATCTCTTAACTGACTGAGTCAGAAATAATAAAATATATAATTATTTATTATTTAATAAGGCAGTTATCGATCTGATCTATATAAGACGATTAGTCGATAACTGCAAACATACGACTCATTTCTTCTGCTCTATTATCTCTGAACTCTCTAAAGGCTTTGGAGACTTGTGGGTTGTGTACCTGTCTACACTCGAGATAATCGAGATTTCTCAAATACTCATGGATTCTTCAGGTATGCATACATTACTTTATTCCATTATATTTAATATATACATGAATTGAGATATTTAAATTAATGTTCGTAACCAAGGCTCTGATGTCAAGTATTTATATATTCAATTAATGTTCCTTCATCAGTTTGTTAGGAGTTAGGATGCTTTCTATTATTATTATTTTTTTAAAAACGTTAGTTTTCCAAAAAGAGAAACATTTAGGTTTGTTGGTTAACTCCGTCGTTCTATTAAATTACACCAAAGAAGCATTATGTTATCATGCACAATCATGAACCATATGGTAAATATCAAAAGGACAAATAGTTGTAAACAACCAAACATGTGGGTGTGCCTATTCCCTGATAGAACTGCAGAACAGCAGAAGGTGCATTATATTTACATTGGCGCTGAGGTTTTTAATATATAAATACTCAAATTAATGGAAAATTAGATTCTTCAAACATTACCATTGCGTTAAAAAAACCAAAGAAAAAAAGTCATTGCGAATTATTAGGAAGGAAGATTAAGTTGTGTATGTGTGTGCGCCCACGTGTATATCATGTTAAATACAATGCATTTAATAATTCATCCTCTACTATATAGAGGATGACAAGTCCATATTGATCACATCTATCACGAGCGAAATAATTGTGTTAACTTCCTGGCCTCTTTTTATATTTTCATGAATATAATATATATATATGTGTATGTATGTGTGTGTGTGTATATATATGGGAGTGCATCACCTGTATGGGCGTAACCATCATGGGATTTCAAGAGAGCCAAAGTTCGGTTGCACAATCCTGAACAAGTGACCATATATATACACATGTATTTGATTCATATTATTTATAAAGCAGTTCTAACATATTTTGTTAAAATTAAGGAGAATTTTAAAAGATCATTAACTCTCTATAAATACTTAATTATTTTTTTATTTTTATCCTTATTTAATATATGTATTTTATTAATATATTTTCTCTTACGTACCAATATTTACCTTTTATTTGGATAGAAGAAAATAAGGAAAGAAAATTAGTAGATAAAACTCTTAAAAATAATAAAAAAATTACTATTTTTAAAAATTTCTCCTTTTATTTTTTCTCATCATTATTTGCTTTTCACTTTGCCCTTTATTAAAGGAAAAAATTGTGATAAAAAAATTAATGACATGCATATAAATAAAATTAAAAAAAATCAATCTATCTACCTTATAAACATGACTAGATGTTAATATAACTTATATTTTGATTGCTTCTTTTATATCAACTCTCTCTCTCTCTATCTCATATATCATAATTTGTTGATACTGGCATTTACATACTCTTCTTCCTCTCTCTGAACATGCTTGAGCCTCTATTTGGATGGAACAACTTTTTTTTTTAAATAATTAATTTCATCTTCTCAAAGCATTGTAGAACCTACCAAATCCATGGAAATTAACCTTGCCCAAAAACATCCAAAACATCTTTTCAACTAAACCTAAAAACCTTTCTTAATGAAACCATAGTTGAAAGACATGCTATAAATATGAGACCTATATTTCTTTAGAAAAAATGAAAAAGTTGGCCCCCTCATATAACCCACTCCCTCCGTTTTTTTTTTTATTAGCATTTATTGCAAACTTTTAAATTATTCCTCATAATTTTATCATTCATAGTCATGAGAAATAATTAATGAAGGCTTAATAGATATAATTAATAAAGAGTATTGTAATCTAATTCTTTTATTTTTAAGTATCATTAATATAGTTAATTAATTTTCTTAAATTATATAATATAATTTTTTTTATAAATAGAAACAAAGGGAGTAATTCCACATTTGATTTCTTAGATTAGCCACCGAACGATTTGAGGAAGCTACTGCATGACGGGGCTTTGGGAGTTGGCCAATCTTGTATTTGTAATTTTAGATCCTAGTTGGATCTTCTCCTTTTCTCAACGAAAAAAGGTGACGGCAATAATAAAGGTCCATTAGTGTAATAATTCATATAAGTATACTACCTGGAAGGCCGAAAGCGAAATAAGGTCAAAGTTATTTGAAAAAGAATGATAATAAAATCTATTTAAAATATATAAATAATAATTTAATCTTTTAAAATATCATAATTTTTTAAAAGTTTTTAGAAAATTTTCTGTCATTAATGAATCTATATAAATTATCAAATTATCTATATTAAAAATAAATGATTCACAACTTTTTTTCTTATATTAACAACTTTCTTTCTTAAATTCACAATAATGCAATAACAAATCACAACTTTGCATGTTAAATTCTTTATTTGTTGTTGTATTATTGCGAATATAAAAAAAAGTTGTGAATCATTTATTTTTAACAAGGGTAATTTGATAATTTATATAAATTTATTAATAAAAAAATTCCTTAGGAACTTTAAAAAAATTATGATATTTTAAAGGATCAAATTATTATTTATATACTTTAAAGAGATTTTATTATCATTTTTTCAAGTTATTTTTGGGGAATAATGACGATAAGAATTTCAAAGGTGACTTGAGAAGGAGATA